TTCTTTCAAATCAGACGATATTAAAAACTATCTGCGTTCAAAAAATGTAAACCAATATTTCATTGTCGACCAAAACCATTCTGCTCTTGGTGTCATTGACAGTTGTATAAAAATCTTAAGAGACTTAAACCAACCACAAGGTGGTGAAGCAAATGAAATGTCATATGACGACAAATACAGACATTTCTCCATGGCAAAGATGAGACAAGTTTTAAATATTTACAATAGCCGTAAACAAAAAGGTTTGGGAAACCACTCCCCCGAAGAAATGAAAAACAACCCTGACTTAGAGAAAGACTATATATTTAATAGTTTAGTCAAAAGAGACAAACAAGAAAGAATGCCAGGCTTCAAACTTCAGAAAGGTGACAAAGTAAAAATAGAAATACCTAAACGCGACCCATATGAAAATACTATTGACTATGACAACAATGGGAACTCGACAGGTACTCGCATTCGTGTTCGTAAAAATAGAAGAAAGTATACAAGAGAATATTATGAAGTTTTAGGCAAACATGGCAAAATGTACAGACTGCAAGCAGAAGATAAAACTACTATTGTCAGACCTCGTTTCAAACTTGTCAAAGTTCAAGGTGGTATACTTTCAAAGACAGTTCCTAACAAATATAAGACAACTCCTGACGAATATGCTAAAGAAGTGGAACATGACGACTAAGCAATTCTATACCATGCGTAAACTGTCATGTAAGGTGGCATGTAGTCTTTACTCTGTCCCGTTGTTTCTGTATATCCTGTAATGCGATGTGTATGGCTTCCTCCTCCCTGAGTGTCATCCCAGTAACAATTTATAGCAAACTTAACGTCGTCTTTAACATCATATCCTTTACCTTTTGTCATTCCTGTCCAATCCCAATATCTATGCTTATGCCAACCTGCTTCAGCTGTAGTTAAATTTATGTAATGACTGTGTGCAGGTAGGTTTTCACCTGAAATCGTTTTACTTCCACCTGTTTCCTTTGAAGAGTTTGCACAATACAAAAACCTGTCGACTATTTGAGTCCAAGTTCCGAGACCAAGTACTACTTCTGGTTTGGTAGAGTTCATTGACGTGTAAATAGAACCTATAGGATATAGTGTTTGAAGTATTTCTGTCTTTAATGTTTGAAGCTCTGTTTTGTCTGCTTTCTTATATAACTTTTCTTTCAAGTTCATTTACGTCAGAGATGCTATGTCTATGATATTTTTGTGAGTATGTTCCTTCTGTCCATTGAAAATATACTCTTTTGTTGCATCTACATATCCAGCTACCCATGTCGAGTCTGCTTTCTTCTTTAACTCATCGTTAACATATGTTTTGTCAGCTTTAAGGTCTAAACATCCTGAAACCCACCCTGTATTGGCTTTACCTTCTAAAATCTTTGTTGTCCGTTCATGGTACCATTCAACCATTTCTTTAATTTTTTCATCCTTTTCATTCACATATTCCTTATCTGCCTTCTTCACTAACGCACTAGCCACACGTGCTAACTCATCGTCAACATACTCTTTGTCAGCTTTGTTGTCAATATCTGCTTTCAAAAGAAGTTCATCTATAGGTTTCTCGTTTAAAGTTCTTTTTGTTGGATTTATACAAACAGTATGGTTCTTACTGTCTTGAAACAGAAACTCGTCTGTCAATGGGTTTATCGTCAGTTTTAAGTTTCCTTCTTTCAATGACTCAGATATCTTAGAATAGTTTGAAAAGTTTGTTGTGTTCTTATTTAGAGCTTGCAAAATGAGTTGTCGGTTGTGTTGTATTTTCTCTCATAGACGCTGTTTCTTTCGACATTTTTATTCTAGATAAAATATGCTTCAATAGAAAAAGAAAATTCAAGAGTTGCTACAACTAAACCATTAGATGAACTTTTTACGAATGTCGGTCAAAAGTTTGAGACAGAGACCGTAAAGCATGAAGGCTATCGTTTTGACTACCCATTGAGATGGTTTAAGAGACCCATCCGTCACAAAAGCTGTTGGCTTTCGTAGAATGAAGTTCATTTCAGAAGCCATACATGGTTTCCCATTTACGGTCGCTTTTGAAATCGATACTATAACAAAGAGAAACGTATGTATGAGAAATTTGAACAGGGAAAACTTTTACAAGTTAGTTTGCTTGTAAATTTAGAAACAACTCTTCAAGCTTTTCAAGAAAAAATAAACGATATCTATCTCGAATATGCAAAACAGTACAACATTGACGAAGGAGAGTACCATCTCGATATTGTTTATGACAGGAAAAATGCAACTGTTAAAATCAATAGAATAGAAGACCTTGGAGAAGACGTTTATATTTCTACAAAATATAACAACTTGCATGTATAGGTTTTCTGAGGATGTTTAAATCAGCCTGCAGAATATCCAGTACACCCGAACTTTTATGAAGTCGAAAACCCTAATGGAACATATGAAAATGTTTTCGACTCAGATGCTATTATAGTTCATGCTTCATTTTCTGGTGCACAAAAACTTCTTTTTTATGCTTGGCAAATGACTTTACGAAAAACCTACAAAGCTATACGAACCACCAAGTGGAAGTATTTCAGACTTTCAAGTATGGTTTACTACAGATGGAAGAAAGAGAATAATTCCATTATACCACGCGTTTTACTTAGAACTTAGTTTCATATACAACTACTATCGAACGGTAAAAATATAATTTTAATACGGTTGAGGTGTTGGATTTGGTTGCCAACTAGACTGTGGTGCAGTTCAGGCTGTTGTATAACAGGAGCTTGTTCTTCTGGTTCAGGTCTTTAGGTATAATACCAACGAACTGACCTACTCTTTTACCAATATTTTTGACTCCGTTCCATACTCCTCTTCCGACAGATTTTATTCCATTCCTATACCTCTTCCAACATTTCGAAAGAAGTTTCCAATACTACTGAAGAAGCCCATTTTACTATATGTAAAAATCTAATGTCCGCCTAGTCTCTTACGTTTCCTTCTGAGTTCCATTGCATTCTTTAACTGGAGCTCATACATTCTTATTTCTCCTCTGGTAAAAACATACTCTGGGTCAACTCCTGTGTCGCGTCATCTGCATAGAGTTGTTTATATCCCACTTCAGGGTTTGTATAAAACTCTTTCCATCTCATATTTGCATACCATGTGGCAAACCTAACGCAGCGTCATTTGACATGGCAGTTTGCATTTGTACATCTGTTGGCACTTGACCATAGTTTGCCATTGCAGTTTGTATTCTAACTTCATTTGGAATATTCTCTGGGTTTGGTTGTCCAGGTTGCTGTGCATTCGCTAAGTTCTGTGCGTCCATTTAATATTAGATAAAAATATCTCTTACGAGTACATATACTGGACATTTGCAGGCATTGTTCATCTTCATATTCTCTATATCTTTCTGCCACGTCAAATAAGTAAATGACACAATGGAAAAAACCTAAAACAAGTAGTCCTATTTCAAACCACATTTACTTACTAGTAAAATCTTTGTTATGACACTTTCTCCAGTTTATAGGACCTCTCTCATATTCTATCTTATCGTATCTAAACTCATAGTCATGTATGTCCTCTAACCATCTCATGACACTTTCCAAACCACTTTTATCGGATGTAAAGTAAAAGCATGGATGGTTATGTAAAACGTCTAAAGTTCTAAAGAGTCTCTCAAAGTCCAGTCTACTTGGTATTGAAAAATCCCATGTGTTATAGAACTGCGGGTCCACTATAAAGAAAACATTTTCCTTGTCTTTATATTTTTCATACAACTCTGTCCAATGACATCTCACAAACTCTATACCCTCAAATATTTTTCTATGTTCTCTTGAAAACATTTGTATAGTTAAGATATAAAACTTTTGACATAAGTGTTTCAATGTCATGAACTCTTATAGCACCACTATATAATAGTCTAGCAGATATACTATCCCAGTCAATATACTCTGCCTTTTTCAAAACCTCTCTGACAGTATTTTTCTTATCTAATGGTATACGTTCCATCTTACCTATAGGTATCTTTTCTTTTAACTCTTTCAATATTTTGTTTGTGTCTGGTATATGTTTGAGACGGTTCATATAGTTGTCGAAGTCATTGCATATAATCTTTGAGTCAGGAAATATTGTATGGCACAAATGAGATATATAGAAACTTCCACCGAACAAGTCTACAAATGTTAGACCATTCGGTAGTTTCTTAAGTTCTCTCAATAGAATATCTTTACATCTACTCTTATTTCCAAAGAAGGGTAACGGTGGTTTTGTAAAATTCATTTTATATATATAATAAAAATGTTTTTTCCTGAAAAGTGACAGAAAAGTGACGGGGGGCTAGAGGGCACGAAGTGCCTGGAAGCCCCACTCCCTTTTTTTTTTTTTTTTTTTTTTTTTTTTTTTTTTTTTTTTTTTTTTTTTTTTTTTTTTTTACACAGTCTTTAACAGTTCTTCTCGATACCAAACAAAACTCCTAGATTCCCTTCATTTTTGGTTTCAAACTTTTTTTAAAAAATCAACATTTGAGCATTATCGATTCAAAACTCCAGGGTATAAGCAATAGGATACACATCATACCGAATTGCTTTCAAAGTTTTAGCAATTTATATAAGTATACATTTACTATTTTTGATATTCTTTCAATTTTTTTGACACACAAGCTTGAAATTGAAATTGAAAAATATTTTTTTTGCTATTAAAATAAAGATATATTGACTTTGTAAGAGCATTGCAGAAAGTAGTTGTGCATCCTTAAGGGAGAACTTACCACTTTCTGACATTCTCTCAATTTTGTTGACACACAAGCTTTATATCCCAATTCTCTAAGGTCAAAGGTTATTATTTTTGACCGAGAAAAAGTTATTATAAATCACTGCTTAGTTGCTAAAATGGCTATTATATTCTTTTGCCATTAAAATAAAAATATGTTGATATTATCTGAGCGTGTCAGAAAGTGGTAAGTGCACACTTAATATATTTTAAAAATTTGAAATTTGTTGTGAAAAAAAAATTAATATTTATACATCAAAGAAAATTTAAACTATAGTTATCTACTCCTGCATATCCTCTTCACCGTCATTTTCAGGGTCCTCATCAACACAGTAAGCGACTCCTTGCGGCATTGGCTGGAAACCGAGTTCTTCTTGAGGAATTCCGTACTCTAGCATCTTTGCCTGGTAAGATTTGTAGATGTTGTTGTAAGCTTCTTGTACCTTTCTAATTTCAACTTCGAGCTGATTGATTCTAGCGTTCTTTACAGCCATGACATCCTCTATCTTTGCAGAGATAGCGGTAGCATCGAGACCTTTTCTCTGCATGACTTGTTGCAACTGCATTTCCTTCTGTTCGAGGACTTCGTGCATTTTCTGGACTTTCTGTTCGAGGATGAAAGCTCTGAACTCTGTACGCTGTCTGACATCGTGGATACTTGTTTCAAACTGGTCGTAGAGAGCGTCTCTTTCCTGCTCGAGTTGTTCGAATCTCTGTTCAAGAACTTCTTGGGCGAGTTGGAGATTTCGCTTCTCTTCTTCGAGAACTTTGATCTTTGACTTGTTTTGGGCAAGTTTGGACTTGGCACGCTTGTAATCATCGATTTCCTTATGTAATTTCTCGTTTTCTTCTTTGATGGCTTTGAGAGGTTCTTCTAACTCACGCCGGCGAGCAAATCTCTCGTCAACATCCTTCCTAACACTGTTAATAAGTGTCTTGGACTGGGCAATCTTGGCTTTGGAGTTTTTGATGACTTCAAGATTGTTATGTGTAACACCTGAGAAGAAACGCTTGATGTGATCGAATGCCAAGGCATGCTTCTCTTGTAATTGCTTGATCTGTTCGTTTTTGTGGCGCTCCAGTTCTTCTGTTTCGCGAATTCTTTGTTCTTCAAGCTGAGCACGCATTGCAGCTGTGCGATACTCATTTCTTGCACGGCTGGCTTCAACTTTGCGCTCAAAGGCTTCTCTGAGTTGTGTAAAAACGCGATCTTGCTCTGTACGTAATTTCGTTAAGATTCCTTCGTTCTGTAAATAGATGTGATTCTTGTCGAACCTGATAAGGTCAACAGTTCTTTCTGGATCTGTTTGCGCCATAAGCTGTTCTTGACGAGCTTGATATAATTGCTGCTCGCCTTGGTAGTATGCTTCAGAAAATTCGTTTTGATTGGCTGCCATAAGGTGCTTGACCTTCTTCTGGTAAACACGAAGTTGTGCGGCACATGCTTCTTTCGTTTCTTCTATATCTCTCTCAGCATTTGCCTTAACTGTCTCCAAATCAGCAACTTCCTGTTGTGCGATTCTGTATTGGCGAATAAGTTCATCATGCAAGAGAGAATGATGCTCTGTATCGGCTTTTGCTTTTTTATCATCTTCAATTATTTGATTTTTTTCGGCTTCCTTTAACAGTGTTTGCTTTTGTGCTTCCGCCATACTTGTTTTGAGTTCTTCCATCGCTGCACGTGTCTTTGCTTTTTGGGCTGCTATTTGATCTTTAGACATTTTAGGTGGTTTTCCCTTTTTATTGTTGGACTTAGCTGATGGCTGAGTTTCCGCCGCTGCTGGCTTTGGCTCAGTTTGTTCTTTGCCGGGTTCAGTCATCTTTTCTAAAAAAATACGTTACTATGAAAACTGCAAAAAATCATTAAAAATTTATATTTGTTTAAATAAAGCATGTGCATCAAGAATGGATTCAGAATTACCTGATAAAGACTCAATTCCTGAGCAAAAGTGGCAATTCCATGAGTGTAAGTTTTAGAAGACTTGAGGTTGGAGACTTCGATAAAGGATTTTTAGGTGTCCTTTCTCAGCTTACTAAGGTTGGCAATGTTACTAAGGAGTTATTCACTAAAAGATTTAATCTTCAGTCACAAAATCCACTTCATCATACATTTGTTGGAGAGAAGGATGGCAAAATTGTTTGCACAGCAGCATTATTGATTGAACCAAAGTTCATTCACGAATGCAAGAATACCGGCCATATTGAAGATGTCGCTGTCGATAAACAGATGCGCGGAACAGGCTTAGGAAAGAAGTTAATTACTCATTTGTTAGATGACGCTAAGAAGCATGACTGCTACAAAGTTATTTTGGATTGCGCAGACCATAACATCGGATTTTATAAGTCATGCGGTCTCGATAAGCATGGAAATGAAATGGCTGTTTATTTGGAATAAATAGTCGTTTAAAAACTCATAATAAACTTTAATTTTATTTTAAATTTCGATTGTAAATCAAAAATAATAAGAGCAAAATCTTAATAAGGATGACTACTTTAGTATTCTATATGAAAATAACTCAATCTGATAGTGAAAGAACACTACTACGATTATTTTCAATTCAATATTGTTAGAATGAACTTAAAGGAAATCTTTCATAAACACCTTAAATTCCCATTGATATTTTCTATTCTCGGAATTCTTACATCATCAGTCGCATTTTCAATAATATACTTGCTTCTCCTCAACGACAAAGTAACTTTTGATATATCAATCGGATTTTTAGTAATGTCTTTATTCTATTTCTTCATTATTTGGATCTCTGTTAATGACTTCAAGCTACAGGCAATGTGCGGATACATTGCATTAATTTTAATTCTTTCAGGAATTTCAGATTCATTAATTACACCAACATGGATTCTTCAAGCTCATTGGGTCAATAAATATGCAGTATTCATGACCAATTTTACAGCAGTATACTCCTCACTTTGTTTTCTTTGGTCAAAAATTTTATCATTAATCGTTGGACCTCCTTCAAGAGCCATGCCAATCGCCGAAGTTCACGAGGGATTCATTTACGTCGCTGCCAATATTATTATGTGTGCTTTTCTCTCATTCATTTGCGCATATATCGAAGTCAAGTCAATGTTCTCATACAGAAAGAATCTATTACAAAAATCCTATCTATTCATCTTGATTCCTCTTGTTTGGAACTTTGCTTTAGGATTTTTAGTCGGAACTCAACGAAATAGATTTGTTGATGTTGTCCAGAACAAGGATGGTATCATCATTTCTGTCTAATTCATATTTTTACATTTGTTTGTCACTAATTTGAATAAATATTGTTATAATTTTATAAAATATACACTTTATTATTTTAATCAAAACAACAGCGCTTCAGAGCTGTTGTATGACTTAAGGATAGTTAACTCTATAATATTTTAAGGTCTGAAATTAAAAATATTTTCCTAATTCTTTTTGTGCCCATTTGAACAAAGTTTCTACCATTTCTTTGTTTAATTGGCCATATTCCGAAAGTGGCTCAACTGATTTTGACTTGATGCATTTTAATAATTTCATTTGAAAATCTTCTGTGATTTCATTAACCAAGCAGTCACTATTGACCTTTATATCTTGTATTTCACCATTATTGATAATTACTGTTACATCAAACAAACCAAAATCGAATCTTTTTGAAAATGAAACTTTTGCTGATGAACACTGGCCAAAAAGCCATTTATGACTTGACAATAGTTCATATCTCTTTTTTACATCTTCATTTTGGAGAAAATCTTCAGCTGATGAATGAATAATTTCGCAATTTCCCAAGATTTTCTGGTATTCTTTGATCATTGCATCGCAAAACATTTCATGGTTTATGTCTGGCTTAATCTCAACCAAATTCATTACGCGGGATCTTACAGAATCAACACCTTTCGCCTGTAACTTTGATTGGTCGACAGTTAAAACTTTGGAGAGGTTTGCCATGTTCACATTAAAGAGCATTGTTCCGTGATGTATAGAGCGATGTTCAGCTTTTCTAAAAGCAGCTCCTGATATCTTTTTACCATCAACTTCAACGTCATTTCTTCCTGTTCCGTAAGAATCAATTCCAAGTTGCTTAAGTGCTGATACAATAACTCCTGTATTGTGCTGAGGAGTAAATTTGGGTGATAAGAATGTCCAACATGTATTTCCTAAATCTTGATATACTGCTCCACCACCTGTTGGTCTTCTGGCGAGAGTAATATGTTCTTTCTTCATAAACTCGAGATTACATTCTTTATATGGATTCTGATGCTTACCAATTACAACTGTTGGAGCATTTCTCCAAAGATATAAGATATTTTCATCGGATTTCGGCATGTAGAGGAGACTTAATTCTTTTGCTAGGTTTAGATGAGGATTTGTTGATGATGTTATGATGATTTTGTGAGACCTAGTCCATTTTCCAAGTGTAGTGAGCATAAAATTTTTATAAAACTTTGTCAAAATTTTTTGTGTTTCATCAAATTCATTGGGGCACCATATGACAAATAGCAATACAAACAATCAACCATTACCCTTCCATTGACAGGCTGTAGCGTACAGCCTTATATCATGTTTTTCGATTGTTTTTGTCCAATTTTTTTTTATTACCTAGGAATATATTTGAGACTTGCTTACATTCTACACTACTGTTATTTACTGATTGATGAAATCAGAGAATGATTTTGTAATTTTCCTAATCTTTATTTGATTTTTTTATATATAGATCAAAACAAGTATTGAATACTTAGAACTATAATACCTAAATGAATTTAAGATATTCACACTTATATCATTTCTAGTTTTTGCTAATTTGACTTTATATTTTCATATTTAAAGCCGACAACAATCTATAATCGTTTGAATATACACATTGTGAGTCATATTTATGTGTATCTGATCCAAAACGGACAACTCTGTAATAATTTTAATGTCAATATTTTGAAAAAGCGAATTTCTTAATTTCTTTTCATCAACTAAATTATTTAAGCTTACACCGATTGTTAATGCTAAATTTTTTGGCAAATTTTTGCACAGAGAAAAATCTTTGTATCAAAAAGTATTCAATTTGTCCCAAACCGAAAAGTCATTTCACTTCCGGTGCATATCTAATGGGAAAGTACGACGAAAACATCAAGATATTATTCAAGATCATCGACGATGACAACAGTGGCCATCTTGACTACGATGAAGTTGAAAAATTCTTCAAAGAAATTGGTTTTGATGAGAAATATTCTTATTTCTTCTCTCGCCTCTTTGTAGGTGTGATCGGTGGCAGAGATGAGAAAATTTCTCAAACAGAAATGCTATTTGCCTTCAGAAAGGCTGAAGAATGGAATCCAAAATATCTTCATATGAACTGCATCAACGCAATTTTCGATACACTCGATAGAAAGACTACAGGATTTATCGCTGTCGAAGAACTCAGAAGAATTTTCAATTCTCTTGGTGATAGAATGGATGCAAACCAATTAAATGGAATTTTGAAATCTTTTGATGATGACCATAATGGAAAGTTAGATAGGGATGAATTCACAAAGCTTGTTGATGAAATCTGCAAGACTAACTAAATATTTTTAGTATAATTTTTACCGTTACTACTTACTAAGCTTCCCTTCTTTTTATAACCTAATTTATATTAATTTTTTAAATCATTTTGGAAATTCAACAATGAATTATAAATTTTCGAAATATATCAAATTCAAAGATCAATTTCGGGAATTGGAAACATCAAAGTAGCGATGCTAAATCAATTTGTCTACAGACGATATGTTTATTCAATAAAATTCAAATCATTATTTTTAGGATTTCAGTTTAGCCCATAGTTTTTTGGGGTTGGGAGTGAATTCTATTGATTCGATTAAAAGTAGGGAAATAATTGTAAAAATGAAATTTTTACAAAAAAAAAAAGGTAACTAAACTCCTTTCGCCGATCCGATTTGCCCCATATTTAAAATATAGCTTGCATATGTAGAAGAAAAGCTAATTTTGAAGTACGCCCCAAATCCACCAACAGGATTTCGAGCTACTAAAAAGGTACTTTTAAATGTGATTTTTTTTATAAAAAATTAAATTTATTTTAAGATCAGACTAAAAACTAATTTTATGGAAAATCTATATCGACAAATTTATTACTTATTGGGTATATAGATTTTTTGATTATGGCGATTATGTCTGATATGCTTCCAATAAGCCAAAACACATTTCATACTGATTTCTATAAAAGGTATCTTTATTATAGAAGTGTAAGCTATATCTGTTTGTTTTTTTATTATAACAAATTCAAAATTCTCTTATAAGGACTAGATGAAATCTGTATTATTAAATCATTAGCTAAATGAAGGTTCAAATAGAAAGTAAATATCAATTTATATGATACTGAAACCAAATAGTTCTTTTAATAAAAGATAACACGCTGAAAATTATTGAGTATTTGCAAATCTCAAAAATCTATTGGTGAATTTGGCTCAACTTTTAAAATTATAACATCCATATCAAATCATAAAAGCAGACAAAAATTAAAGCCAAACCTATCGGCCAATTTTTTGATATTTTGATTTTTGAGGTATACTTTTAAAAGTGGATTTAAAGCACTTATGAAAAAACATTAACTTCTGTCGTTATGATTATTGATTTAGACAATAATGATTTTAATCTTTGATTATCAAAACACTAAAGTCATCTTTTTAACATTTGCTTGGTAGCATTAACTCAAGTCTAAAGTACTATTTTATGTGGCACTCTTAGAATTTTTGTATTCATTGTACACGCTGAAATAGTACCATTAAAGTTATGGCGGACTTTCAAAAAATAGTTTGGTCACCTTTAAAAAAAATTAAAAGATGCCTCTTGCTTTGTTGTATGCAGCAATTCTCTCATTTAAGGCACGTGTACCTCCATTAACTACTCTTGTAATTGCTTCGACGCCAGCTCCTCTATCACACAAATTGTTAATGCCTCTCTTCATCCAATAATGACCAGCACTGGTCCATGGATAGTTAGTAGCTACATAGTTAACTCCACTCATGACATTTTGATCATTGATATAGTTTGCAAATTGCTGATAATTAGCTCTTCCTGTTAATTGGAGGTAACCTGCTCCCTTGAATCTTGGGCCATCTCCTGGCTGGGTGTTACCAAGGTCTCTTCTATATTCATATTGAGATCCATCAGAAAGTTCTCTTGTCCATTTTCCATAACCTGACTCAACACTGCACTGTGCAATGAAGTGTCTAATTCTCTCGGATGTTGTAATGCTGAAGATGGACAAGCATCTATTAAGATCGCCTAAGTTATAGTTTGACCAGCCCATGGCGCGCATTTGACCATCATTGACTCTGCCGCTTCCACCGCCACCGCCGCCGCCACCACCGCCTTGGTTATAATCAACAGCTACATAGTCGGCGTAGACCCAACCATTTCCGATGAAGTAGAAATTATTTTGGCAATTTGTGATTTGGAGTGTTTGGCGATAATAAACTCCTCCGACACGAGCATAGTTAGTTCCTGGACCAGAGCGAACATTGATTCCATTATCTGATGTAACGACACCTGGAACTCTAACGTTTTCAGCATAAACATAGCCGGTTTGGCCATTGAAATTGACCTTCCACCAGGAACCTTCTCTTCCAATAACTGGGACAGATGCTCCGCAACCAAGACCACCAATTCTAGCATTTGATGTACTCGGTCCGTTTCTAACATTTACACCAACTGATGGAATAACGGTTGCTGAGGCTCCGTTGGAAACTGGGCTCACAGCATAGTGGGTTCTTCGATGCCTTGAGCTTCTCAGACATTCAGTAAACAAGATAGAAAGCATTTTTTATATTTATTATTTGAATTCGAATCAGATTTTGTCTGAATTGGCAAAATGTCAAAACACAAAATTAAGGAGAAATTCCGAGTTAGTAATCAGAACCAAGAATGCGAATTTATCCACTGTAAAATCGTATCTTCAGAATTTTTTTATGAGAATATTTTGAAAATTTTATATAAATGTATGATTCATTGAATGATTTATAATTGATTTTGATAACTAGTCTGATTCATTCAATTTCAATTTGGCATCGTAGCGTCATAAAACAGACATAAAAACACATGCTTATCAATCATGTCAAAACATAGGTAGATGAATCTGAAATCTTGTAAACTTCAGAATTATAATTTTTGTCAATATCAAATCCAAAAGAAACACAACGATTTAATTTTACTTTGGTGTTCTAAAATACATGACCAAAAAAAGACACGAAAAATAATTCATAAAAAGAAAATATTTTATTTAATAAAAATTACAAATTAGATATTAAATTATTATATTCTTCTTTTGAGCAACCAGCGCTTTCAAGCAAGTTCTCAAACTTCTGTTGTTGCAATCTTCCAAGGATTGCAATATTGTCCAAATCTACAAATGGATCTTCCACGTCGAATCTGACTCTATTTTCTATGTTTCTTCTTGCGCAGAAATTAATCTTTTCATTCTCAAAGATATCTCTGAGTTTCAGAAGAACATTCGATTCGCAGAAATCAACTCTGTAGACACCACCGCATTCAGTACCATATATCAATCCTTTGCTGTCACTTTTAATAACCGAAACCATTGAATCTGTCATAATTCCAGAGATTTCGTTTACTTCACCTTTTTCGTTCATTTCGAACAAGTAAAGACACGAATTATAAGTGGAAGCAAATATGAAATTCCTGAAACAACAAACTCTGCATATTCCTTTGCATTGAGGGTCTCCTCCGACCAAAGTAATGCTATCGTTTGTTATTTTGTAAACTGAAATTGATTTGATCGCATCACCAACGATCAAATAATCGTTGCAAACATCCATAGACGTTGCCAACACGTGAGCAGGAATCAAACAGACTCTGTCGAGTTCTATTGTAGTATGAAGGAACTGTGGGTTGTACAAAGACAACTGTTTTCCTTCAGCAACAACTAACATCGAATTACAAACAATTGCGGCGGTTGGAATTCCACTTGTTTTCTGTGGAATACAACATTCACTCATGGATTCATCAAATAAACGAATGGAACAATTGTCAAGTCCTAATATAATTAATGATTTTCCATTCAATTCTATCATATCGAAAAGTGACACTCTGCCTGTTTCTGACGGCAATGATAAAACTTTTTTACCGTTTTTGTAAAGTGTCAGATTTTCTTTTGCTGTTTGAATTGTTTTGTCAATAACATCTTCCAAAACAACGCATTTTGATGGTGAGAAAAATTTCGCATCAACAGCATCAGGTGAAGTGAAGTCCAATTTTGAGTAACCTCTTCTTCCACCGTTGCATCTAAATGTCTGTAATTTGTTGTTATGTAAAGTTACGATTATATCTTTACAAACAGAAATTTCAGTGCATTCATCGCATCCGATTGATGTCAAAATTTCATCTTTTGTTAGTAAAAAAGGTGTTGTTGTTGATCCATATATAGTATTCTTATAAAGTGTTAATTTAACAAAAGTATCACCGACTTTTTCTGATGTCTTTGAATCTTTTGTCACTTTTATTAAATTACCATCATAAGTTCCTATATATAATTCTGTTTTGTTTTCTTTGTCCAAAACAATGAGAGAAGAAGGACTTTCTCTATCAATTTCTAATGGACTGAAGTGAAGTGGTGAATCAGAATTTGCCATGTAAAGTAAAACTTCGCATCTCGTTGTAATTAAAGCAATGTTTCCATTCTCTGAAATAGAACAGAATAAAATTGGATCATTAATTGTAAATTTCTTGATTTCATTGATCCTGTCCGTTATTTCAAATTGAACAACTGTGTTTGATGTATCACAAACAAGTAGATTATTCTCTACACAGCTTGCACATGAAATGCCTTCAAACTCTAATTGTATTGTCACTTTTTCTTTAGTAAAAAGTGACACATGTTTTGAAGTTACTTGGATCAACTTGGAATTGTCTATATCAGTGAATAATATCGTTGGTTCATTTTCAATAAAACCGTCAACGGTTATCGGTTTGAACGATAAACCGTCAGTTTGACAGATCATTGTTCTATCGAGGAATGACATTACCAACAAAAATTGGTCTTTGTCAGATACCAATGACGATAGAAAAACTGACAAACAACCATCCAAATTGAAGGAGCAAATTTTCTCGCATTCCATAGACATGTGGAATGTCATCATCTTTGCGGCAATTCCTCTTCCTGCCAGCATTCTCACATCACCACTTTGTAAAGTTGTCAAAGATCTGACAGTGCCTGTAGCTTCTATCGTCTTTATCGGCTCAATCTTCCTTACGTTGTCTCCGAACTCTGCGTAGAAGAAAGTTGTGTCTCCGAAAGTGTTTGACACTGAAAAATGGGATTTATCAATTGTCACGATTGATGATAAAGGTCCTGTGTATTTGAGCTTGAGTGATGATGGTCGGCCTTCTGTAGGAAGTAGGGCCACGACCAAACCGCCATTTGAATCACCGAGGAAGTAGATATCTTCAGAATAGTGTTCGCAGAGCAAAACAAGGCCTTCAAGGAATAATGTGATGTGCTCGACATCCTGGTTGAGTCCTTCTGGTGCTGTGATACGGATAACACCATCAAGAGTGAATACAATGGCCGAGGACTCGCGAGCAGGAGATAATGGAAGAATTGTATGGGAATCTGGCTTGACATCAAGAGAAAACTCTTGCTTGAACTCTGTAGTGCCACGCTGTAGACTATAAACAACAAAAACGCGCTGTTTGGCGACTTTTTCATCACCATAATCTTTTCTGCTGAATTCTGGGTCGCAAAGTATCGCAAGTCGAGTACTGTAGTTAACTGGACCGATAAATGCTATATCTACGATATTTGGATAGTTTATTTTGAGAATTATTATATTATTAGGTTGTTTTATCGGAATAATGTGTATGCAGTTATGAACAATATGAACAGCTATGTATTGCGGATGAATTGCGATTGGAATTTTGTTTTCAATAAAGCGAATTGCTGCAGTTGAGATTGGATTTTGGCAAGTTGAGCCATTTTCGGCGTAATTTTCAACAGGAAGTAAGAATCTTCGATCTTTAACAAGATTTGGTGTGTGGAATGATCCTGCTGCGATTAGTTCTGGAAGTTGGAAAATGTACCAATGTAAATTTCGTAAAAGAACAAAAACAGAAGGAGATTCAGTCTCTAATGCTTCTAAACCAACAATTGGAGACATGAATGGATATTTTTCTGTGATTTCAAAAGATTTTGGATCAATTAAATTCATTGTATTGCCTTGGGCCATGACAAGAAGCAAACAGTCACCGTCAGAGTTACGAATAGCAACTAATCGAGTCACTTGTTGGTCATCTTGCAGTGCTTTGTGAACGAAAATGAGCGAATCATTGCTCATTCCCCACAAATGATAGTGCAAAAATTTATAAATCATCTAAAATTTTAATATAAAAGCATTTTGCATATGGATAGGAACATTTTCACTCATATAATCCTTTCAAAATAATTCACTTTTCAATAACATCTCATTTCGGGTTATTGTTCCAGAGGTTATCTTACAAATAAATAATATGCGCATTGCATAAATTGACAGTTTCAAAATATAAATTTCGTCTATGATCTAAATTTCAAATTTCTATAATTATTGTCAATAGAATGCATAAAATTTTAGGACAAATGAGCCTTAGTAAAAGCATTGTTGCCATTTTATCAAGGATAGATGCACTATAACTTTATGATTATTGATTTTCTTTGTAATAAAGGCGAAATAAACTTGAATAATGAGACAAACAGTTTATTCTATATAGTTAAAAAGTAAGAAGTATAAATTTCAAGTTTCGTGTAAATAATAAAATTATATATTTCGAAAATTAGGAGAAAAATAGAAATAATAAGGTCAAATACAATACATTAAAGCAGGTCAAGGATGCCCTGTATCTTTTCATCAGTTTCTTGTGGAGCTTCAGATTGAATCGAAGTCAAGGTCTCTGCTAACTCATCTACATTACAAATATCAGCAATTTTGATTCCTGACTTTGACCATGTCTGAACTAATATGAAAAGCAAGGAAACGCAGTCTGCAACAACAGGAGTGTTTTGGCAAGACATAATATCAATGGTATCAGATAGTATATTAGTATTAACCAAACTTCCCATTTGTTGTTGATTAAATCCTTGAATGTAGTATTTAATATAAAAAATTGAAGCAGATCTGAGTCTGAAAGAGAATTTTTGAGTAATATATTGGCAAATTAAGTTAAACGTTTCTTCATCAACTCGATATTCTACGTCTCCAAAGAAATACAAGATTGATGGAGCTGATTCGAGATTATCACTAAGATTTTCGATCAATGATGGAAAGAAATCAGTTTCATTAAGAGCGATTATGATATCTGGACCATATGAAACGAGAAAATCGAATAATTGCTCTAATATTGTTCGACCATCGTTAGAAAATGAACTTATTATATCTAAAAACTCTTCATTAACTTCTCCGCGATGATTAGATTTAGATAACATCTTAAGAATTGCAAATCCTGATCCAATTGTCGTAGAAGATTTAATTGGATGGTCAATTAAAGAAATTCCGAAATTCCAAAGAATCTCTGTATCAGTATTTTCATCAATTTGTTCGATAACGATTTCAATGAATACTAAAATACCATCCAAAATATAATCGATATGATTTTCGAAAAATGGATCTTCTCCATCGCCTAATGATTTGAATAACTCGAAGATATGATCGAAAACTTGGTATTTAATTGCTGTTTCTACTATTGGAACATTTGCATCGTGTAAAACGTTTAAAAGCCTTACAAAGTCTGCGCCTATTAGTGGATCATGAAAGTCAATATGGTTAACGATGAATTCGATGATTTCTTCACTTCCGAAATATTCCATATTTACAATCTTGAGATAAGCCAAACATTGCAAGAAATTAAGTGTATTACGAGGTATGCATATTATATCATTGTCAAATAGCTGCAAATTTTGAACCAATTGTGGAAAAATTTGAGTTACATCTTTAACATTTTCTAAATCCATATCATAGTTTTGCATTCCTAGTAGCTCTCCCATTTTTGCTCGGTCGAAGTTGCCATTTCTTGCAAAAGCAGTAACATCTTGTATATTTATTTCTCCCATCTATAAAAATAAGAGGGGGTAACAAAATTTTTGAGGGTCGAAATATCTGACGTCGTTAAACGGAATATAAGATTTTATGGGAAACTCGCAATCAGGTATTACAGATGATGAAATTATCGCAGAAACCATGAAAGAGAACTTCATTCTTGGTGTTGTTCAATCTTGCGTTGAAGGACCTATTCCTTTTACACAAGAAGTTATCAATAAACGTAAATCAACAGTAAACTTTGTAATTATTACAAAAGGAGCTGCTAGGCCAGCTAAAATATGGCATTCTTCTAAAATTCTCGTTGTTGCTTTAACTTATCCAGATCCTCCAATCGAATTACACAAATGCTCATTTTATCTCTTCCACGGTCAACCATTCTTAGCTATTTGTGTTGATTCTCAAACATATTATCATGGTTGCTTCTTTATGAACAAATGCAGATTCTTTGCTTCTCGCGAAGAGTTTCTCAAGAGAATTCTCACTTGCATTGATAACTACGATGATATTCTTGCAAAATATATTATGCCAAAGCAAACAGTTCCTACTATTAAAATGCCTAAATTTGGTTATGCAAATCCATATGAGGAAGACGATCTTTCAAGAACGGTCGATCCATTCGAATTCGATTCATCATCGGGATTCCTTTACCATCTTTACGACACAAACCAAAAACCAGAAATTCAAGTTGCAAGAGATCTCGGCTCATCTGTTTACGGTGCGATTTCAGAACCAGAATCCGTTAACTACGAGAATCAGAGCGAAGCATCATCTCAATTTGGCATTATTTCAGAACCAGATACAAAACAAATCAATTTTGCAGAATCCAATTCATCATCCGCCTTCAATCTTGTTTCAGAACCAGAGTCATACAGCTCTATGAGCGGTCTTTCCCATATTACGTCAAGTGGAAGTAGTAATTTCGGTATTGTTTCAGAAAGTGGTTCTTCTCAAGGTTCCAAACGCCGCAAACGCCGTACAAATCATCAAGATCTCGATGAGAAACTTGTTAGTGGTGCTGACTCCATTTCTGAAGGAAAACTCCGCGAAAAACCAGTTCCTCGTCAAAGTCAACCTGATGAAGAGCCAATTAAGACTCTTGACCAGCCAATTGACCTTGATTCACAAGAATCATTAAGCAGCAGATCACATAGCAGCCACAGCAGCTCTCGCCGCAGAAACAATAATATGAATGACAGCGAAAGTGGCGGCGGAAAAAGAAAAGTTCCTGATGTTGAATCCGTCAAATCAATCGATTCCAATAACCATTCTAGTTCGAGACGCAGAGAATATTCATCAATGAATTCTGGTGGTGAATATAGTGTTAGTGATGTTCCAAGCATGAAGAGTGGATCAAGTAACGCATCTTCACAAAGAAGAAAGCGAAAACCACAGCAAATACCAGAAAGTGAAGATAGCGGTAGTTTTCAATGAGTAAAATTATCAAATTGTTTTCAGAACTTTTTTATTTATCATGAATTTTTTTAAGATTATTTAGAAGGGCTTCATAATATCAGCTCTAATTTAACAAATCGCACATATAGGTTATGTAAATATACTTCAAGCAAGATAGAGGTTTACAATTCTTTTTTTGTTCAATCATAAATTCTATATCAAGTCACTGTCTGGAAATTTCTATAAAAATCCATTCATAAAGGTATGTAGTAGATAAATGAAAGTAGGATTATGCTCTAGTTCAAAGTTCAGTTTATTGAGCTAAATTTTTGTGTAAAATTTTAGGGGATGCCACCATATGTTTTTAAAATAGAAGGAGCCAAAAACTTGTATTAGGATACTTTGTACTATTGGTATATCAACATTTCATTTTGAGCAAAATTTAAAACTTGAGGGGAAAAAACGGTTTGGCTTACCCTTTTGTTATGAAGAGCGTCCAAGTTTTCGGTCGTAAGAAGACTGCTACTGCCGTCGCCTACTGCTGCGAAGGCTCTGGCCTTATCAAACTCAACGGCACACCAATCAACATGGTTTCATCTGAAACACTTCGTGCCAAGATCCTCGAGCCACTCCAGCTTATCGGCGAAGAGTCTTGGGGCAACCTCGACATCCGCGTTCGCGTCCACGGTGGTGGCCACGTCGCTCAGGTCTACGCCATCCGCCAGGCTGTCGCTAAGGCCATCGTTGCTTACTATCAGAAGTATGTTGATGAAGCAACAAAGACAGAAATCAAGAACACACTCCTCGGCTACGACCGCACACTCCTTGTCGCAGATCCACGTCGTATGGAGCCAAAGAAGTTCGGTGGTCAGGGTGCCCGTGTCAGAAGGCAGATGTCATATCGTTAAAAGTCTCTTAATACAATTCTTGATCGAAAGTTATACAAAATGAAATTATTTTTTATCTTTTTCCTAATCAATATAATATTTTGAGTTTTATTTGAAAAAATTGAGAGTTTTTACTATGTTGGTTTGTTAAATGAAAAACAAAACTCGACTTCTGGAATCTTAATTTAATCATAACATCAATTCTTGAAGAAAATTAAAATGACATTTCTAGAATATCTTTTTCTCATGAATACGGATATCAATATAAATGCATTGATTAATAGATTATATTGAATCATGATCTATTTGGATAATACCGAATTTGATTGGGATCAGATGTTAACTAAGCTTTTGTTTGCCATGAGTTAGCTTAGATTAAGAATATGTTTTGAGCAATACATGAACGTCTATATATGCCAATAAACAAAAAATTCATGAAAATATCGTTGATTATTACATAATGGATTCTAGTTATGAGGCCAATATAGATATATTATTGTTTTTGTGCATACTTTTAATTATAGAATATGCCCGATATCTTTTGCAAGAGGCAAGAGCTTAAATGAAGTCGTCGCAAGCTCAACTCAAAGAAAAGGGAAGAGCAAACAAATAATATATTTTAATAATAAACATGAAAGATGTATAAAGATGATAAAAAAGCTTTTTTGTTTTCAAGAAATATTTAAAAATTCAAACATGTTTATGCATCTTTAACAAATTTTCTAAGATGGGATAATTGTATGTAAACAGATATTCCTCGGAGAATCCATTGTCCGTTCTGATTGGAAAATGACCATTCGCCAGTATCTGTTTCTACATCAATATTCTGGGCATTTGGTACTTCGTTGATCATCTTCTGAAGTTCTGAACCACTGAAGTTAACATCACAAACGCGGATTTTATTTGAATTACCACTAATATTGTTTTCTATATTAAGACTTACATGGCAATTGTCTGTTACAGCAATTGGATAAGCAGGAATATCATTTGTAACAAAAGCGATATAATTGTCTGGATCTGGTACATCTTTCTTGAATTTTATATCAAAGAAAGATGTTACAATGGAGTCATTGATTGTAAGAATGCCATGCCAAAACGCACATTTTTCCAGCGTGAATCTTGCAAAATCTTTTGTTGCCATTACAATTGTCACTTTTTACAATCGAAAAAACGGATATTATTGAAGGCAATATGAAAATTAACTTCTCAGCAATACATTGGGCTTTCCATAGTTTGTGTATCTTACCTTTCAACATCCTATTCTCAAAATCGTTGTCAATGTATAAATAGATTTAAATCTTTGCTTGTTATTAGCCATGTAATAAAAAATTCTTAATGAATATAGCTAAGACATCTAGTCCTAAACAATACCATATGCATTATCTATTTACACAAATTGTATTAAACCATAGCATCAAAAAATTAGTGAACGACTAAATTGAATGAAAATTTTCAGATTGAATAGATTTGAATTCAGTGATATTTTTACTCATTTTTAATGAACTCTTCCCCAGAGATATGCTTACCAGTTAACAAGGGCAAAGAGGCTCGTATAATTGCTAAGACATTAAAAGATTTTAATTTCAAGAAATGCAAAGCATGGTTCTCACTTTCTTCTCAGTTTTCTTCTGGTATTAGATTTCCAGAATTACTTTCTATTGCATACGTTCTTCAGCGTATTGTGGAATTGCCTGATATTACCCGTTCTGAAAAGAGATCATTCCCATGCTTAGTTAAGTGGTTTGATGATAATTGGGAAGCAATTAAAGATCCAATTAAACAAATAACACTTCTTGACGAGAACACAATTCCAATCAACGGTCAACGTGAGAATTTAGAACGAATCAATTAATGTATTTTTGATGGAATTTATTCATTAGAATTTCTTTTGAATTTTTAGCCATATGATCATGACATATGACAGTATTGGTATATTGTAGCAGTTTTGTATGTATAAATGTATATAGATGCTATAAAAAAGAAATTGAAGATGATGAATGAAAAGGGAATGAATATATTTAATATTATATTTTGTTAGTGTATAAAATATTATTTTTATTTTTAGTTATTAAACATAACAAAACATTGTTTTAACAATTTTAGGGTCCACCACCAACCACCCCCTTATTAGACGATAAATATGCTCAGCGGTTTGGCCTTTCTTTTTAGCATATGGTAGACAACAGGTACACTCTTCGCCGCTCCCTCGGATTCCACACAATTCGTAACCGCGTCGCTCCAGTTCGTACACCAGGCAACAAGCTTGTCGCACACTACATTGCTAAGCGCCAGAATGGCCCACACTGCGCCGAGACAGGCAAGCGCATCAACGGCATCAAGTGCGTCAAGACATGCGAGCTCCGCCGCATGAAGAAGAACCAGAGAACAGTTTCTCGCCCATATGGTGGCGTTTACTGCGGCTCTGTTGTCAAAGACCGTATCATCAACGCTTTCATGGAAGAGGAAGCTCGTGCCGCCCAGGAGCGTAAGATGGCTAATGAACAGAAGAAGAAGGGCAAGTAAATTAACTTCCTTTTTATATTAAATTACATTAAAAATATCAGAATGCTTTTTTGAAATCAAACAAATTCACGAAAATTTACTAAAATTCTCCTTACTTCTAAAAAATTTATACCAAAAATATATTTTTATTCTAAGCTTATTTGAATGGTGAACACCTACATATTTGAGCTTCATATTCGATCTATTGGCTCACTATAGCTCAATTGAGAAAAAATTATCCAGACAAATATATCAAAATGGGTTCTATGATTAGTATGAATGAGGATTTATGTAAATTTAATTCATGAAGAAGATTTAGTAAATTTTCGTGAATTTGTTTGATTTCAAAAAAGCATTCTGATATTTTTAATGTAATTTAATATAAAAAGGAAGTTAATTTACTTGCCCTTCTTCTTCTGTTCATTAGCATTCTACGCTCCTGGGCGGCACGAGCTTCCTCTTCCATGAAAGCGTTGATGATACGGTCTTTGACAACAGAGCCGCAGTAAACGCCACCATATGGGCGAGAAACTGTTCTCTGGTTCTTCTTCATGCGGCGGAGCTCGCATGTCTTGACGCACTTGATGCCGTTGATGCGCTTGCCTGTCTCGGCGCAGTGTGGGCCATTCTGGCGCTTAGCAATGTAGTGTGCGACAAGCTTGTTGCCTGGTGTACGAACTGGAGCGACGCGGTTACGAATTGTGTGGAATCCGAGGGAGCGGCGAAGAGTGTACCTGTTGTCTACCATATGCTAAAAAGAAAGGCCAAACCGCTGAGCATATTTATCGTCTAATAAGGGGGTGGTTGGTGGTGGACCCTAAAATTGTTAAAACAATGTTTTGCTATGTTTAATAACTAAAAATAAAAATAATATTTTATACACTAACAAAATATAATATTAAATATATTCATTCCCTTTTCATTCATCATCTTCAATTTCTTTTTTATAGTATCTATATACATTTATACATACAAAACTGCTACAATATACCAATACTGTCATATGTCATGATCATATGGCCAATAATTCAAATCAATATCTAGAAAATAAATAAGAGCGATTTTTTTCACTTTATATGACCTAAAAAGCTAATATAAATCTGCAAGGGTGTGTAAAATGGCAGTACCAGTAGTCTCTGATCACATCAAGTAAAAAATTATTTAAATATACAAAAGTTAAATGAATAAATAACACGTTTTTAAATAAGTCGAACAAACCACAATACTCTGTTTTCTGAAATTACATTTGATAACTGTACATTCGGATCTTTTTCATTTCCGTCAATATCAATTAAAATAAACGAGCCAAGCTTAATTTGGTCCTTTAAAACGTTATCATTTGCTGCAACCCAAACGTAAACATTTTCAATTTTATCATCTCTTGGGAAATTTCGATTTATACGAACGCCATTATGAAGAATAACAGCAATATGAAATCCTCCAACTTGTTGTGGAGGTAAATTTTTGTACATTTGCTGTACAGAATCTGAATAACGTTTTTCTTCGTCTATAATTAAAGTCTTCACTAATTTCTGACGATTTTTAAGTAATTGTATTGATGAACGCATATTCCTTTCTTCCATAATTTCATCATCACTTTTTACTTTTCTAATTTGTCTGTAAATAAATTCATCGTTAGATACTGTTGCTCTTTCTTGATATGGGCCAGTAGGATTTATTGTTACTTTCTTTTTAGATTCTACATTTGATTTAATTTCTTCAAAACTGCGGCCATAACTTTCACCAAGTGCAACCACATAACTCTGGAATTCTTCGAAATCCATTTTATTGATTATTTTCTCATCAATTCCGTTCTTAATTAATATTGCTTTTAATTCAGGTGTTTTTTCGCCCATTGTCACTTTTTACTAATTTATTTTCCTCCCAATCTATGGAAATGAAGCAATTTTGGAGAGTCATAATTATGTGAAAGTATTTATAATACGAATGCAGATATGTTTGTATTATAGAGATATCATAAAAAGATTTTGACGAATAAAAATGAGATTGCAATATATTGACTTTCCATAATGATATCTATGTATATAGATGCTATCCAAATAATCACAAATAGCATAAAAGCATTATTGTATGCTTAAACCAGCGAGTTTGAATACTACTCAGATATTTTAGCAACATGTCCTATTTTTGCAATGATTTGGACATGAGATTTTGAAATCACAATCTATCTGAATTGATTCACTATTGGTTCACTAAACAAACAGTATAACAAATATATCAAATTACAAAAAAATATTTATTAAATTACAATAAATTAATTGCAAGTTATTCTCGTTTTCAAGAATTCCAAAACATCATCTTCTTCCGCTTTTTGTTTTGTTTCGAGTTCACGCCATTTCGGATCACCAACACTATCCAATATCTGCACTCTGAGTTCCTCAGCCTTCTTTTCATCCTCGATTGCTTTAATTATTTGGTTCTTCTCTTCATCGCTCATTTTTGTCCAAATTTGCATTTCTCTGTATGATTTCGGCTCTGTATCGAACCAAAGCATCACGTCTTTCTCGCCATCCTTTGCAATTCTAGATGAAGATAGTTCTGCAGCTTGTTGGAAGTCAGAAGCTGAAATCAACTCACTAACATGAGTGCAAACACCATCATTTGTAATAACGAAAAGACGTGGTTTATGGCCATTAGAAACAATCTGTGTCAGTTCATCTTGGTCGCAAGTATCAACCTTTTGTAATCTTTCAACGAAATCTCCATCTTGGAAATGCTGTACGATTTCCTTCTTCGAGCACAATTGATGTCCTAATGCCCATTGCCAATCTTCTGTCAAATAATAAACGCATCTTCTTGCACCAGCGTTTGCAACTGTTCCTGTGAACAAATCGATCATTGTCATCACAGATCTGAACTGTCCGAAATAATAGATGATGTGGCCAGACTTCTTCAGCAAATTCATCGAACACTCATTATCTTTTGTATCAATTGTAATGTTGTTGTTCGATTCGAATGTTGCTTTGAATGCCTCGTTTTCTACAATCATCTTCTTGTTTTCGGCAAATATTACATCAGGTAATGCGGAATTTGTCCATTTCTTCGCATTTGTGTAATATTTAGAACCATCTGGATAAACAATTGTTGTTTCATCTTCATCATTTATTATTGAAACACCATTTGAATGTGTCGAAACTTGGCGTTTAGTGAAATGAGTTTGAATTGTTTCGCAGGTTGCATCATTTGCTTTATCACGTGTCCATTCATCATTACTTGTCTTAACAAACGCTTTTCCTTCACTATCAATCAAATGCCATGTTTCGCCATCGAATGTTTCAATTGATCCGTCCAACATGTAAATAACTGGCTTTGGAGTGAACTTTATCAATTGTCCTTCACTTGTAACAGCACGCTTCTGCTCTCCTGGAGCTCCAATCATTGTTATCGTGTCGTTTTCAGTGGAAATAATTGTGGCACCTTTTGTAAAAAGTGACAAAGTTGCTTGAGACGGGGAATGTTCGAAATTGAAGTCACAATTCTTGGAGAGAGCGCCGCGGATATTGATATTGACTTCGAGTTGGTCATCGTCTTCCTCTTCGCCGTTTGTTCCGCTGGAATTTCTTTGTTGCATATTGAAGGAAAGAGAGGATTTGTTGTAGGAAACAAGGAAATTGGCTGATAATTGTCCTTCTGATTTAACTGGGTATGATTCTACTTTGAGACCAGATTCATCAAAATATACTTGTTTCTGACGAGTGGAAGTAGGACTTGGGAGGTTGCAGAACTCTTGCTCTCTGCCTGCATTTGCTCCAAACTCTGTTTCGGCCGGTGGATCGTCACATGTGTCAGGAAATTCTTCTTTTGACTCTTCAAGCCATTTTCCGAATCCTTTTGGAACAGGAAGGTGGAAATTCTCACTTATGGTGGATACGGGGAAATTGGACTTTGGAATCGAATGGAAAAACGCTAATAACGTTGTTCCAGCAAAATCTCCCCATTTGAAGTTGGGATAAGCACCAATAAGAGGTGCGATAACATTAGGAAGTAATTCAAGAGGAATTAATTCAGCATGACGACGTTCTCCTACTGGATATCCAACTAATTCTTCAAATTTCTTTACAACGTACACAGAGAAAATGTCATCGTAAGAAATTTTGTTTTTGGCTGCTGCAGAGCGCATTGTAAAGATGAAAGGATCTTTGTAATCTGGTCTATGCGAAAAGATTGGTTTTAGTGTAGCAGGAAGTTGATATTTTGGTAATAATGTGGCTTGATGTTGGAATTGATTTGAAAATATTGGATTATTTGCGTTTTTGAGAAATTCTGAAATTTCTTTGAAGATTTCTTGTTTGTAAGCTTCCTTGAGTGCTTCATCTTGTGGTGATGGAGTTTCTTGAACTGGTGTTGAAGGAGCTCCTGCTTTTCCTTCCTTCTTTGACTGTTTTTCAACAGGTAATTGTGGAACTGCAACAGGATCCGGAGGATACTTCGGGATTGTAACTGTCTTTACATCGATAGTTTCTTTATGAAATGCTTGATACGCGTTGTAGTTTTTGTAAATCGAATTTAAGATATTTTGTGCAATATCTTCGTTTGTTCCTGTTTGAGCAAGCGTAAATGATAAGATTGGTAAATGATCACTGAAAGCTGTTCTAAAATCTAAGCTTGGTGTACTTGTTGAAGCTGGAGGATGTTTATCTGTTTCTGCAGCTTGAACTTCAATTGATAACGCGCAAACGACAGGAATGCATGCACTCTGCATGCCTATAAGCTGTTCTGGCATTTTTGGATAATCAGTTATATAAATAAAATTCCGTCCTTTAATTTCAGGTTCAGTACGAGGAGTTTGTTCGTTGACTGGCTCTTGCTGTTTGGCACCTTTTGCCTTTGGATTTGGCTTTGGTTTTGCTTTATCTTTTTGTACAGGTTTTTTCTGTTGATTTGCAAGCCAATTATGTACAACAATACTAACAAGATCTCCTTGAAGTGAAAGAGCATCTGGCGTTGGTGGTTTTATTAAAGCAGGTTTGCCTTTTGATGCCATATCAACAGCATTTTTCATTGGACAGATAATATGTGTAGCTGGAAAGCTCGTCTTCATAACATTCTGAAAGGTTTTCATAGCAGTGTCATTCTGGACCTGAAGAAGTATAAAGATACTATCCTTCTTCGCTTCAGACATTAGAAAAAACGGAATTTTTGACACTTTTTCTCCCTATCAAAGAATAAATTGCGATTATATTTATTGCGAAGCTTTATAGAATAACAAAGGTAGTCCCACGAAAAGTGACACCCTCCTTCTTTTTTCCTAGGGTTACTGTTCGCTTCTTTTCTGCTCGTTATGGCAGAGATGAAAGAAATGATTGGTGGAGCCTAATTTATTACTCCAATTAGCAACTATCTTATATAGTATACTTAGTTGTATTGTCAGTTATTCTCCAGCATTATGCAATTTAAAATCAACTTCGTTAATTTTAATTATATTGCAACAGTACTTCTACATGGAGATAACATCAAGATTGCACCTGCCAAATCCCCATATTAAAAATCGAAATTTTGCATCTCGAAAATGCAACGACAGAATTCCTCGTAATTTTGAGTTCTTACGTCGCTTATGATACATATTCAAATAACTTGAACATAGAAAAAGTTACTAAAATTTGAGAAAATTATTGCAATAAGAAAAAAAAAGTCGGCTTTTAGATATAAATTACATATAAATTACGATGACCTCTATAATGAGTGCACAGTACCGAATATAATTGTTTGATATTTTTGATTTCAATTTTATACATTTTGATTGGAATAGTCATAACTCAAATATCGACGATAGTTACTACATTTATGCGAATGTAGTACGTTTCCATTCATCTATTTACTTGTTGTTGTTGAAATAAAAACTTTATTATTTTACTATCTTAAAATAAGAATTTTGTTATGGAAATAATATTTTCAACAGCAATCATGACATTGCATCAACTATAGAATGAGTTTTTAATAAATATGATTTCCAAATCAAAAATTAGATGTTTTTTATGAATAAAAACGATTCCATTTGATGATTTGATTAATTATACAATACTTCGATTTTCCAAATTTTTTTGAAAATTGATTTTTTCAAGAGAAAAATTAAATTTTTGATTTTCATTTTTGATTTTTTGAATTTTTTTTGGAATTTTGAGTTGATCAATTAAGCAGAATGAGTAATGCGAATGCTTTTTACATCTCACAGAGTGATGAGTTAAAGATGAATTTTAAAAAATTATTTTAAATCACAAATATCTTTCTTATTATCCTTTATTCTAAAAAGAATAGTACTAAGCATTGATAAAGCATGATCTATATTAGTAAAATACTTGAATGAAAAGTGTAAAAGTAAAGTTTTTATTCATTTTTATATTAGATCTAAACAAAAAACTGCATCATATTAATATTCTAGTGGAGAGATGAGATTTTGTTCGTTTTTGTTAGCATTCAGTAGACATTATAATCTTGAATTTTATATATTACATGAAATTATTAACAAATGTGATGTTTTGCTTCGATTTATGATTAATTTTATTAAAGCATCTCGACATGTATCTTGAACAAGAACGTTTCTTGAAGAACTCCAAGATTTTTAAGAGACTTCTTACGAAATTTGATAGATGATAAGAACCACCATTTACGCAAAATGGTTTATTGAATATAAAATAATTCTGTAGTGATCCATTATCATTATACTATTTTCTGTCAAATCCTCAAAAGTAAGAATTCAAATATATTATTTCCCTGATAAACCGGATATTACATAATAAACTATAATCATGTAAGCTGGGAATATTATGGTTTTATTCAAAAGCTCCAATTATACTTAAATTTGAAATACAAATAATGAATATTGATATTCACTTATATTTGAAATTAAATTTGATATGTAAATCATAACGTGATAATTAATTGATAAAAATTATGGAAATTAAAACGTAATTCACAAATCTTTTTATTCCTTTAGTAACTTTTCAAACTAAGATCATATCATTCATATTTGGAGCCTACTGATTCTATTTATCTTATTTATTTGGAAATCTGTCGTTTAGATTCTTCGTGGGACTACCTTTAGAATAACCATTTTAATATGCATAAACTTGAACTTATTTTGCCTCACTCTAAGTGTTTCAAAAACAGTTTTTTATGTTATCACCAAAATAATTTTGTTCCAAAATTATTCCAATATTATGATTGACATATGCATGACCTAAGAATATAATTTCCCTTGATAATTTCCACGGTAATCAATATGATCAGGGTTCAATCTCATTAATTCAATTGAAATAAAAGTAAAACTATTCATAATTTGTGAATATTATTTTGGTAATAATATCATTAATTTTTGAATTTGGAAAACGTATGAAAATTTGAATATATACCTTTAAAATTCTAAATAATATAGATACATATTACATCTGTTTTAAAATGCTAAAAATTTAGATTGAATTGATATTCAAATCTTAATTTTTTGAAAAAGCATTCAAACTGAAAGTTATTTCGGAATTTTCAATGTTTCACACTCTTCTGCACTGAGAATCACTCCAGATAAGAATAGTAAATCATTATATTTCGAGTATCCATGCAATTCTCCATATGATTGTTCACCATATGAAATTCATCTCAAAAAAGGGGAATATTTCTTAGAAGTATGGGGAGCACAAGGAGGCACAGCAACAACATATTCGTATTGTAAATCCAAAGGTGGATTTGGAGGGTATTCTTCGGGAGTTTATAACGCTATTCATGAAAAAAATATTTATCTCCATTTGGGAGCCACTTTGCAAGTATCGCAATCTGTTAAAAAAACTTTATATAATGGTGATGGTAAAATAGAATTAAGTGATGATGGTCCAGGTGGCGGTGCCACTGACTTTCGATTGAATCCAGGCAATTGGAATGAAAACTTATTATCAAGAATAATAATTGCTGGCGGAGGTGGTGGGTCATATTGCAATGCAAAAATTAATCCTTCAGGAGGAAATGCAGGAGGACTAAAAGGAAAAACTGATTCGACGGGGACAGCTAGCTATGGCACTCAAACAGGATGCGGTGGAACCTCAAAGAACTGTGGAACATTAGGAGAAGGTTTTGGAGGTTATTTTGGCTCCGGTGGTGGAGGAAAGTATGGAGGAGGTGGAGGAAATGGAAATAGCGGCGGTGGCGGTGGGTCTGGATCCATCGATTGGGTATATTCACTAAACAATTATGAAGCAATTACTCGCGAATCAAATCATGTGGGTCCAGGTACTGCGCGCATCACATTTATTCATTACCACGTTTGTAAAAGTATGTATTACTGTAGATGTATGTTTTCTTATTCAATTTCTTTATATTTATTTATATTATGTGATTCATTGAATGAATAAAATTTCAAATTGTATGAAATTCTTTATTTTTCACAGTTTGAGTTATGATTCATAGATGATATATAAGTATATTGTTGCATGCTAAGATCAGTCATAATGTAAACCTCTCAATTTTATTGTCGTGGGAAGTATCTCAATTCCTTCAAAAAAATTGAAAAACTATTTAATTTTAAAAATATAATACTTTTAATTAGTTAATTAATTGGAGATATTTTTAAAAAATCACTTTTGATAATACTTTTGAGAACTTTAATTAAAAAAATATATTCAAAAATATCCAGGATATCAAGAGGGAATTGTTCCTTATGAGGTATACATCATAACTATATACCTCATAAGGAACAATTCCTCCTTAAAATGAGAAAACTTGTTCGAAATTGTTTATCATTTCGAACAAGTTTTCTCGTTTTTAATAAGAAACTAAAGGCTATGAGGCACTGATTATATATTAGTGCCTCATAGCCTTTAGTTCCTAATAGATAGCTGGGGAACTTTCTCCAAATGATAAGTTATTCAGAGAAAGTTTCCCAGCTATCAAGAGGGAATTGTTCCTTATGAGGTATATAGTTATGATGTATACCTCATAAGGAACAATTCCCTCCTTAAAATCGTAGACATTTTTATACTTATTAATCAACCATTCAAAATCATATTCCTCTGAAAAGTTATTTTATTAAAAATTTGTTATAGACCGAAAATAGATTTTTTCGGTTTTCTCTTCAAATAATTGAAAGAATGATACTATTATAGGTTTATTATATTATATAGCATATAATCATGCTATAGCCGAAAATTATAAGTTTTGAGAAGATTGAATAATACACAAATAAATTTGAATGTAAGTTAAATTGCTTGTTGTTTTTAATAGCTATTTAATGAGAAATCCAATATTGCAAAATTCAAATTGAATGATTGAAAGAACAGAAAAAGTCATTCTTTTCAATTTCGAATATGTTTCATTGTATTATAATTATATGGCAAATAAGATATTTAAACTTGATTTTTGAAGGAAAATTCACAAAATTGAATAAATTCAAATAATTTTTATTCAAAAATAAACTAGTTATTTGAGTTTATTACCAATTATCTATTCAAACTACAAAGTTTGTAATTTAAAATATTTTGTGAGATCAGATTGAATTAATTCAAGGTTCTTTTCAATTAATATTAATGACCATATTACGCATTTTCGAACATTCTAAACCAAATATATAAAAATGGGAGACGAATGTTAAATTTGCTAGACATGGGGAGTTGTCTGCAAAGTTTTAGCTCTTATCTCTAACAAAAAATTAATTTTTAAAAAAATGACCGAATACGTTTCACAGCGAGAAAAAAAATAAAAGGCAAGATAGAATTTCTAGACATAAAGAAGTTGTTTACCGAGTTTTAGCTCTTATCTCTAACAAAAAATTAATTTTTAAAAAATGACCGAATACGTTTCACAGCGAGAAAAAAATAAAACTGTACACTGATTTTAATTTCATTTCCAGTCACTTTACTTATTATTTTTTCTTTTTTCATTTTAATTATAATTATTTAATAATACGTTTATTTACGTTACCATTTTCTTTTATTTTTTGAATTCATATTAGACACTTATAGAATATTTTGATTTTAACGTACTTCATTAGAATGAATCCTTACAAAGGGTATGTCGATCGAATTTACCTAATTGGTATTTCCAATCAGATTGAAAGAAGGTAAAATGACATGGAAGAAGCTTCACCCATGTTCCCATCGCCCCAACCCTTCAATCAAATGATTTCAAATATTTAGATGTTTCAAAATCTTTTTTACAAAATCAAATTTAGCTTACAGAATATCCCATTGCCTAAAGGCAAGAAATGTCGTAGGGTCAATCCCTACGACCAAATCAAAGCTCTTGCTGGATACATGACCACTGGGCCTTTCCCTGTGGTCAAACAAAACAATGGAAAACGTTTGAAATTACAACAAATTGATGTATTTTATAGAGAAGTACGCAGATACTTCAAAGAAAATCATTTCACCAAGACGCGATTAGAGCATGCCGGGCCAGAAACAGCAGTAAGATATTGGCGCTTTCACCCAATCTTATCTGGCACGCAGATGTTCATTATTTTAGGGGTGTTCGTGGCCAGTATATTTATGGCATAATCGACAATTTTAGCCGCAAAGTCCTAGCGTGTATACAAATACCAGATATGCTGGCAGCGACGATAGCGAACGTTGCGGCTTCCGCCTTCATTGAATTTGCGCCCCTTATTGTTCTGGACCGACAACGGTTCAGAAAATAGGGCGCCTTTCAAGATCTACTTGATCTTTGGGCGTCCAATGGCGGCATACAGACTCTCATTCTCCCTACCAAATGGAAGATAGAGATTCTGGCCGACATTGGAGCGCTGCCAAAGCATTCAGGCTATTCCTGCCTTTATTGGGAGTACAATAATAACACACCGCATGAAGATCTCCCAATTAAAGTTAGTATACAAGTCTTGGGTATGGTGGCACTGCGTTCCACCTTACTCAATACTTGTGAATTTGACACTTTACAAAACCGTTTAACGTATATTTTACAACACAACGACAACACTAACTTAACCTTAAATATTTACAAAGCCGCAAACCACTTCACCTCACTAACGAACTCACTAATGTAAAAAATAAACGTTCTCACTATCGTTCTCACTAACGACTTCACTAATGTTCTCATAAATTTTCCTCAATATCTTCATCATCAGTGTTAACCCTATTGTAGTCATACTTAAGCCATAAACTTCTCTAACTTCTTAAACGTACAATTTACATAACTTACCTTCGTCATCGTATGTTTAATGATATAACTATTTCTATCTTTATACACAGTCAATGAAAAGTCAACTGTCTCGGATGTATTGAAAGAACATGTTATGCTCAGGAAGGAAGAATAAATGTTTAAATGTATTTTGTATACTGTGGAATTCGAATGAGTTGCTTTGTTCTGTCATTTATATAAAAATAAAATAAAAAAATAATTTTAAAAAAATAAACTTAAAAATAATGATATCACCACCATCACGCGTATGAAAACATAGCACAAAAATAAATTTAGGTGAAGTGGTGAAATCTCACCTCTTTTTTCACCCGGTTTTCACCCACTTGAATTCATTGCTTTATAAACTCTCTTCCTTGTTTCTTTTAGTTGCTTTCTTCACGTCTGTCTCCAACTTGACTGTCTTTCTTCTCGTCCATAATGATACCAATTACTTCCACCAGTCAATGGTCAAATGGTCGTTCATAAGGGTTTCCATACATTCCATAAGGTCGTATGGATAAACCGCTGGTGAGAAGAAACATTTTCTTTAGTTCCATCGACTCTATTTAAATGCATTGTTTCACCTTTCATCTGTCATTAAAGTCTTTTGCGTGTTTTGCAAACTCATCGTCCTTTCCTAAAGCATTTTCTGACTCAGTCGCAACCAAATTGGATGCTTTATTTATGAGCCCTATTTTATTTAATCTTAACTTCTTTGCAACCCAGCCTCCAATCTTCCTTTATTTGCATCTAATGTCTTTGAAACCCTTCCTCCACTCATTTTATTTACTGCGTCATAAGCTCCAAGTGCTTTTGCTCCAAATGCTAATGCTTTTGTTCCCATTGCGCCTAAACTGCCCAAGCTACCATTTACCCCATATTAAAATCATCTCTCTTCAATATTATCTCATAAAAGTTCTCGTTACTGGAGAAAGTCAATGAACATAAAACATTCTCACGTGCTTCGCCTCACCGCTTTGCGGTCTATCTAACTTCTTTCTTATCTCATCTATTCTCAATAAAATGTCTGAACAATTGCTAACATCTTCTACAACAGTTATTTCATCATGAATGACTTTCATGAACAAGCTCATTTAATATGCAATTAAAATCATTTCAATAATGAGTCCATCATTTCCATCTTTAGGTAGCACAACATCTTTCATTGAAGAAGGTTCGACAAGTCTTATGTTAAACTTACTGACAAAGTTTGTTATACTATAATGCTTCGGCGGCGAATACAATAGTTTGAAGACATAATTAGATTCTTCAGCAAATTCACTTATACTGGATTTTATAACAATGTTCTCACGAGACAAACGCCACCAATTGACAATCTTGTAAGCAATCCTGCTGAACCTTCAACTGTAAACGTCGATGGTAACATTCCACGAAGGTCATCTATTGACATCTTTGAGTCACTGAATTTAAATATTTTCTTAAAGCAATCGTCATTATCTAACCATGCAATAGCTTTGAAGTTTTCATTTGAATATACATCTGCTTCATTAAATGTAAATCCTGACTTCTTTGCAGAGATGACTTTAAAATCTATTGAGTTTGTTTCAAAATTATATGCTATGGTAACTTCTGAAGGTAATTGGTGTCCTTCTGCTATAAGTTGTTCTTTCAATACCGTTTGAAGCTTTGTGTTAAAAACTTTCATGTCATCTCCTGTATCTAAGTTCACATACACAGCAACAGGGAAACTATCTTGCTTCTTTGTTTCATCATTATATCTCAAAACATTAAAGTTCTTCAATAATATTGTTCTTCCTGCTGGAATACTTCTAACTTGTCTTATTTCAATAGCTTTCTCACCTCCTACATACTCTACCCAGTGTCTTGGATATTCATAAGTATACTGACTTTCTTGAATTTTGGTAGGTTTCATCATAACGTGTTCATAGTATATCTTTATACTCTTGTCAGTTAGACTCGGTGCTATGTTCTGAATATTCTGACTTGCATTTTTAATGGAGATAAAATGAAGCATTTAATACATGACGTAGATGAAGACATGAATGAAACTACAGACAAACTTAACTCTTCTCTTATTCTTCCTTTCAGCAAAGATTATGAATTCTGTTCAAATGGTGTGTATTTCTATTGTGGAAAGATGGGTTCAGTAAGACATTTAACCTCATTCGTCATATACTCATAACAGAGCGTTTAGGAAACGACTCTTACTATGACCAAATCATTATATCAGCAACTTCAGACTCTATGGATTCAACAGCGAAAACATTCATGAGTAAAGTTCAAGCATCTGTCGTTAAAGTTCCAGATAGCGAACTCATTGAATTTCTTCAACGTTACATTCGACGTAAGAGAAAATATTATGCTATTGTAGAGTTCATACAGTCAGGAATGCAAAAGACTTCAGAAGAGATGGAAAGAATTATTGACAAACACCACTTACGTCAGTACTCAGGAGTTTACGATATGAAACGACTGACAAACTACATTCTATCAAAACTTTCAAAATACCCCTTCAAAAAGTATCCTTCAAACACTCTGCTCGTTTGTGACGACTTCGCCGGAAAAGGTTTAGTGTCAAAACCAGACTCACCATTAGCTAACATCATAACTAAAGTCAGACATTACCATTTAACTGTAGCAATACTTATGCAAACATGGCGTTTCCTTGCTTTAAACATAAAACGTCTCATAACTGACTTCGTTATCTTTCAAGTTTCTCACGTTATGACATTGAACTCATTTGGAAACAGTCAGGTATAACATTACCTTTTGAAGAAATTTGGGGAAGCATATAAGTCTCTCATCTCTCCTCGTTCATACCTTGAGATTCATATCATGACTAATACCATTAAAGTCAAAAATATTCCATGGGAACGACAACATTGTTTTAAAGTTTAACCTTCAATTGACTGATGGTAAACAAATTCCATGCATCTCTGTCGCCATTTCTGTTAATATTTTTGCTGTCATTCATATCATCCACTTCCCCATCCGTTAGCTTTTGAGGATATGCGTTAGAATAGCTGTTCTTAAATGAAGGCTTTTCACCTTTGAGAGCATAAACTCTATAACTTTCTGCATACTTTATGTTTGAACCTCCTGAGCCATCATTGACATAAATTTTTATAGGCTTCCACCCTTTGTTCATATTCCTGCTTCTTCCTTTGCTCTTTTGTTCAGTAGTTCTACATCTTTATACACAGCTCCTGTCTCAGTGAATTCAACAATATTTTCATTCGTTAGCTTTACATTCAAACCCTTGTCGAGTATATTGTTCATTTCATACATATAAAAGGTTTTTATTCTATATGAAATGAGAAGCAAATCCATCTTAGCTGGTGCCGTTAATGTTCCAATTGAACCAACATCAAACGTTGACTCACGAACGACAAACAATATTGTCATAAAGAACTATAGTTCGGAGTGTTGAAAGAAAAAGAACCAGAGCTGAAAATCCGTGAATTTAAACACAGCTTCAAACGCTAACGCTACATCAGATGTTAAGTAGAGTATCCACCACTGGACCAAATTCTTTCAAGAGAAGCCAACGACAACCCTTACATAAATGTTCAAACAAATCCTTCAGATAACGTAGACCATTACCTTTTCAGTTATACCAAACAATTTTACTCAAAGACGATAAGAAGCTTTTTGATAAATCTTATAAGTAAGAACCAAATAATTCTAACAAAGGAGGACCTTGAAAATGTTATATCACGAATAACAGAAAGCAATGTGTCATTGACTATCTCGACCCTGAAATCGAATGCTGTGGTCAAACGCCAATATTCATGAAAATAGGTAACATCCGCATCATTGAAACACCAGGAACTACAGGAATTGAGTTTAAGTATAAATATTCGAACGAGTATACAAAACTTTCAACAGAATATAAGCTTTGTCTTAAATATGTTTTAGTAAATTAAAGCAATTTGTAATATCTATCCAAAACTTCTTCAACAGTATCGAACTCATCTTCATAATGCAAACCTAATCTTATTGACTTGGTGCAGTTTTCACTAACACAATATTTTTCTGTTCTCTTGACTGACATAACTAACTCATTTTTTCATCAACAGCAACAACCAAAGTTCATGCCCTAATACATAACATTCATACTTTATATTTTTAGCTCTGAGTTCTCTTGTAAGCTGTTGCATTTAATATTTTCTAAAAAGTCAATCAACAGTCATTCGCACTGGTGCCTTCAGTTCTACAGGCTCTCCTTGAAAGTCAACAAGTCTGAATTGCATGTCTTTCAAATTATGAGGACTAATGCGAACCCATTTACCTAAATGAGTTGCTATGACAGGAACGTTTGGAATGAACATTGAATTGACTGCATAACAGAAGGATTTATATTCTACTGAACCTTTACTATTAACTCCTGAAATACCTGTGACATAGCTATTTTTGACTCAACGTACAAACAATTGCCATAACATACGTATGGAACAGATTTCATCTCAATCGTTTTGTCAACACTTTTCAAAGGAAATGTCATATTGGGTATGCTCCCAAAAGAAGTTGTACTCTATGACTCATTCGTGTTATCTTAAACTCCTTCGCATAACTGAACTTCAAAACTCCTGCAATAAGTTTAACATTCATTAAGTTTTCTTCGTTATCCTTGTTTATTGTAGTATTTATGAGAGCATTTAACACTCCAGCTAATGTTTCCATCTTATATTCTATAGGGTGTCCAAAGGTGCATTTAGCACAGCGCTCTATATGAGACTATTAAAGGAGATATATGCTGATTAATATATAATAAAAAAATATGAATATATGTATATGATGAGTAAGTTGTATTTTGGCGCCATGCCGGGATATAAAATGAATTTTGAGACAAGAGGCGGTTTCGCGGGAAATTTTGGCGGGATTTTTTTCATTTTTTTAATGAATCATAAAGAAAACATCCTCGCTCTTGCAAAAAAATGCAAAGACTGTAAAAAAATCTACGAGACATTGGTAAAATGCTTCGGTATGGATGCTCCTAGCTATTCCACTGTAACGTATCATGTTAGGATGTATCACTTCATGAACAAAAAGGCGCCCATCATAAAAATTGACAAAAAATCGCCGGATCAAAGAAAAATCAAAGCAATTCTTCAAGCGCTAGATGAAGACCCAAGAGCATCACTCAGAAGGATAGAGGAGATGACAAAGATACCACGTACAACAGTCAGTTATTATCTGCACAATTATTTGAACTACAAACTAGCGTATACACGTTGGGTTCCGCACAACCTTAATTCAGTTCAAAAAAAATCTAGAGTCCAATCTTCGAAAGAGCTCCTCTCTATATTGGGTGCGTATCAATCCAAGAAGTTTCGCTTTTAGTAACAGGGGACGAGTCTTGGTTTCAATATGCAACAGAAGCCAAAATCATGTGGATCCCGAAGGATGAAAATCCGCAAACATTCCCGAAGAAAAAAATTGACACACCAATGATGATGTTGTCGGTTTTTTGTGGCGTGAATGGCATCATCGCAATTGATATTCTTCAAAAACCTAATACGATGAATGCTCAGTATCTAATTGACAATGTTCTTACTCAAATTATCAATTCTGATGAGTTTGAGAAATCCAAACAACAAAAACAAAAGTTTGCAATTCATTTTGATAATTCAAGAGTTCACAAAAGTCATAAGGTAATGAATTACTTGTTGGAAAACAATGTCAAAGTTGTTCCAAACCAAATTTATTCACCTGATATTGCACCCTCTGACTTTTATTTATTCGGCACGCTAAAAAAGAGAGCTGAAGGACGCGAATTCGCGAGTCCAGATGATCTTGAAAATTTTGTAAGAGAGCAATTTGAGCAATTTTCTCATGATGATTTAAAGCGTGTCTTTCAAGCCTGGATCGATCGCTGCGAACGCGTGATTGAATCCAATGGTGATTATATTTAAATAAACTTTATATATATGTAACTTGTTTATTTCTATTCGCAGTATTCAGGTTTGTGCTAAACACACCTTTGGACACCCTATACATTATTGTGAAATCTTATTTCGTGCTTCTTTCCATCTATTTCAAGCTCCATGAAATCTGTTTCGTCAGTTATAACGAATGAAGCAATAGTATTAAAGTCAACCATTCTGAATGCAAGTGGCTCATTCTGAAGACCTAAGTTTGTTTGTAGCTTTACTGTCCCGTATTCGTTTGGGTCTGTACTTTGCAAATAGAACAACATTTTATTCTCATTAAAATATGACTATTGCTGCATATGCGTATGAAGCTGACAGAGCTAAACGTTTATATTTTGGTCAATACTCTCTCACACTTACTGACAAATATATTGTTATATCTGATGGAAATACCGAGAAATACATAACATGGAAGGACTATGAAAAGTTTGACCCTATTTTAACTCCATGTACTATGCCATTCATTGTAAATGGTGAAGTTGTCATGAAGAACGACACAACAGTATATAAGTCTGTTCATGAAGCATTAGAATATATGTTGAATTATAATCCCGAAAGATTTGACCCAAGCACTACACCATGTGCAATGCCTTTTATTAAGGACGGTGAAATCGTAAGAGTTCCGGATTCAACGGTTTACACAGCTGTTCAAAACAGTTTTTTTAGCGAATATCTTTAATTCAGAAACTACAGAAATAAAATTACCATATATAACAGATGCTAAAGAAATTAAATCAAAAACAACATTATTTACGTCACTTAATGATTTAATGACTTATATCATTAATATTCCTGCACCAACTACAGCATTTGATCCAAACTCGACGGTTTGCAGTGTACCTTTCATAAATGACAGTTCATTAATTACTTTAAGGGATTCGACAGTAAATGAATCATTAAAGGCGTCATTAATGAAAATCATTGATTTTAATTCATTCACGAATACATATAATTCATTCATTAATGTTTCATATGCTTCTAAAGAAGGTGAGCCAAAAACTATCAATAAAGCGGTGTATGAAATAAAAGCATCAACGACGAAATTGAATTCGTTAACTTTTGACGGTGATAGTTTCGTTAATGACATAACATCGGGGAAAACAATTTTAACGAAAGAATACTTAAAATCTCATGTTAGTGAGTTCGTTGAAATTGAAAAAGAAGGTGGAATTAAGTTCGATCCACTGAATTTCATTTTCAGCTTAGCGAATGCGGGTGTTAGTTTCGCTGAATGGACAACTATACAGAGTGAAATAAATGCAATATGGACGTTTTTGGGGTCAAAAGCGGGAATGGGTGAGCTTGTAAATGCTGCAAGAACATTAGGTGAAACAGGAAATTTTGTAGATGGTTTTAAAAGACTTGTTTCAAATGTTTTAACAAACACAAAGAAATTATTTAGATATACCATACATAACGGTCAGATTTTCGAACAGATAGCAACAAACCCTCCGGTTATGGCTGCGTTGATGATGGTTAGAGATATAAAACCACGTAACGACGGGAACGAAGAACATGAACAACAGGATACTGGTCGGGTTATTCGAGACATTAAAAACGTGTATCCTGAAGTTATTGATTTATTTAGAGGAGTTAATGATTCAATTTCAAAACATTCTATAACCCTCGATGAAGAGAATAAATTAACAGATTATATATTCGTCATTATTGCAGAATTAATGAAGAGAATAAATGAAAAAGGAATTGGTGATATCATTAATGTCAGCGATGTAATGATGAAAAGAAATTTTGACTCATTATTTACAAAACCGAAAACAGAATATAGTCTTTATGACGTAATTACCGAATTAATGAAAAAGATTAATGATAATAAGAGTTCTGGCGGAAGAGTTGAATTAGAAGTGAATGATGTTAATGAGAAATTAGCCGAAAAAGCAGACAAAAATGAGCTTTTAGCTCTGAGTGATAAAGTCAAGAACCACGTTCATTATATAACTTCAGACGAACAGATTATAACGGACTACCATGGATATTTAACACGAAGTGATGAAGTGAAGACGGAAGACCCCAATGAAAGAAGATATAAATACATTCGTGCTAAAGGTTATGACATAAGCTGTACTGTACAGTATGACACGGGTAAAGCACCAGAAGCATTTAGTTATAACGATGAAATTTATGCCTCTACTTTCTCTGTTAAAGGTGTATTAGTTGAACCAAGATTTACTTTGAGAGTTAAGTCAAAAATAACGTTTGAAGATGCTATTAAAAGTAAAGCTGACAAAGTTGAACTCGAAGCAATGAACAAAGTTTTGAAATCTCATAAACACAACATCTCCGATATAAATGAACTTCAAGCTACATTAGACAGTAAAGCCGACAAGAACCATACACATAAATCCTTCACTACTGTTAGAGCAGACGACATAATATTGAACTATACCCTTGGTTCAAGTGCACCTTTAGAGAATCCAAGTACAAGCGTAAAAGATACACTAAACTCCTTAAATAGTAAATGTATGAACATTGAAGGTCATGTCAGAAACTTTGAAACACATGAACTACCAGCAATGTTAGATAAAAAAGCAGATAAAACTTATGTGGATGCAGAACTAACAAAGAAATTTTCGAAACCAGATACAATGACATTTACAACAGAAATTATAAATGGTGAACCAGCAACTCCATTTGAATTTGTTAGAGGTCTTCAACCAGATACTTTTGAATTTTTCTTGGATAATTCTATTGAACTAACATTACATTATAAAAGTGGAACAAATGCAACATTTCATCCGGGAGATACATTCCAAATGGTATTTAATGACATAAGTTCTTTAGAATATGTTTATAGAGTTATGAGCATATATGATTTAATATATCCTATAGGAGCTGTTTATACGTCTATGAATCCAATAAATCCAAACACTTTATTTGGTGGTAGATGGTATGAAATAGTTGACAGTTTTCCATTCTACACTAATACGCAGTCAATGAAGATGGGAGGTTCAAAGAAAATAGGTATTGAAAACCTTCCTTCACATATGCATAGGTTCAGTGGAAGAACATCTGTGGAAGGAAACCATTCACATTCAATAACAAAAAGAGGTTATATAAATCTTGCAGCGGGTTCGGATAGATGGGGAATGAATAGATATGATATCTCAATGACCCAAGATGTTAGCACAGGTATTTTCTGTGGAACTGCAGGAAATCATACACATGTTGTAGCTGGTATTACAGACCCAGCAGGTAATGGAAAAGATTATATGCCTCCTTATATAACAATGCACGCTTGGATACGAGTTGGTTAAATCTTTAACTTTACATAAATGAGCTTGAAAGAAGTATTCGAACAACATCCATGGAGGTCATTTAAGAAGTTCAATGAAGCAGCAAAAAGTTGGGGATTTACTAACAGAGCTGAAGTGAAAAAGTTCTTTGACAAAAATGTTGTACATCAAACAAAAATAAACCCTTACGACTACTTTTTACCAATTTACTCCAACACTCCTGACGCATACCAATTTGACACTCTCATTCAAAGCAGAAAAGGAGGACATAAACCATTCCTCATCTTCATTAATGTTAACACTCGCAAAGCTTTTGCGTATATAATGAGGAATAAAGGAACTCGTGAAGTGTTAAGAGTTTTACAAAAGTTTGTAGCAGAACATAGCCCAAGTACTTTAACATCAGACCAAGACAGTGCATACCTCAGCAATGAAATCACAGATTTTCTCATTAAGCATAACATAACTCACTACACTACTGAAGACCATAACCATAACATACTCGGCATCATAAACCGCTTCATAAGAACGCTCAGAGATTTAAACAAGAGCGAGACTTTACCGAAGAAACAATGAAACATTTTCTCGAAGTATATAATTCCTCAACACATTCTACAACAGGACATACACCAAATTCAATGACACAACAACAAGAAGAAAAGTATATACAAAAGAAACGAAGTCAAACACAAAATATCAGAAATTCAACACAATTTACCCTCATTCCTGGTACAAAAGTTCGTGTAGTTCTTGACGACAAACCGTTGACAAAGAAACGTTTAAGGTTAAGTCGAAATTATTATATCGTAGACTCTACGCAAGGTAATGGATATCTTATAAAAGCTGCTGACGACTCCATAGCGTTTTACCCTCGTCATAAATTAGTCGAAAGTAGTAATGGCAAACTTGCTGAAACCATTGACGAAGCAAAGCGAGGAGTGGTTATTGAAATACTTGGCTATAACACAAACGATGACACTTATAAAGTAAGATATGAAGGAGGCGTTGAAGATGTTATACCATCTAAGAACTTGAGAGAGTCAAAGCCAACACATCTGGGACCATTAGAGCGGGAGTACTGGAAAGACAAAAATATGCCAGAAAGAATAAGAAAATTCTTCTAAACTTTTTCATTAGATGTAAATCAGACAAAGCATTTACCAGAAAGAATAAGAAAATTCTTCTAAACTTTTTTCGTTGGATGTAAATCAGACAAAAATATATTTTAGGTGAAGAGGTGAGATTTCACCTGTTTTCTCACCTGTTTTTTCACCTGTTTTCTCACCCTCACCGCTTAGCGGCTCAGATTGCTTTTGCTTTCTCGTGAATTTTCATGAATTTCCTTAAGATAGAAAAAATAAAGTTAGTTTTATTTTTATTTATTTTTTTATCTTGTATGTAAAGATATGATTTCAACAATAGGTTCTACAACAATTCAAACAACTACAGCACCAAACTCTTTAGTCATGAATCCTACATCTATGTTAGTAGAGATGAAAAGCTTCATTCCTTCTTCATATACTTTTGAGACAGAAATACAAAGAATTAAGCAAGAACTTTTAACAAGTAATTTAGACTGTAGTGCGAAGATGAAACAAATGAACAGTATCTTTATGACATGCAGGACATTATTGACCATTTACCCAAATTGCCTGAAATCCAACAACAAAAGCTCACTATTCATGAATTCGATGAAATAGAAGTGAAACCAACTGACTCAGTAGAAATAAAGAAGTTCATACGTAAAGTAAACTATGAGTTTCTAGGATATCATTGCAACCATAAAGTTATGGACAAAGATTGCGACATGGTATAAAGAACATCTCTGACATATATAAATCTGGGGAGTTTAAGACATACGACAACTTTGTTTCATTAGTTGCTGAATGTGTATGGCAGATAAAAGATAAAGATAAAAGATGTAAAATATGGAATGGACAAATAAAACCAACAACTTTTGAGTTAAAGAAACCATTGACGCCTTAGTTGTTCTAGCAGGTCAAATTTCAATGTATAACGCAAAAATGAATCCGCAATGTTCAAAATGTAAAGCAGCAATGAGGAAATATAACTACTCCGTCAAAGAGATAGAACGTATGCGAAACGACTATGCTGACTTAAAGAAAGAAGTAGAGAAACCAGCAGAAGATAAAATGGACATGTTAGCATTTCTGAACAAAAACTATCCAACAGCTGACGATTTCCTATTATCTGATGTCAAGAAAGAAGTATAAAGAAACTTTCGGCATTGTTAAAACTTTTGACATACTGACAGAAGAAATAGAAGCTACGAAATTGTTTAGA